TATATATATATAAACTTGGAGCAAAAAGCTTGGATAACCTGCTTTGTGCAAGTATTTATGTGTATGAACACTCCCTGAAAAAAAAATCTGTGCAGCAGGTTTAATATACAGCCTTGTAATGAATGTCCTCAAGTAAAATTATACCATCAAGTCCTTAATTATTGGTGTTACTCATTTGAGTTTATACCCTTCACTTAGATGCTTTGCTATGCAAAAGGGCAGAACAGAACAGCAGAGGGTAAGATGACCTTTGTGTAGAGATACAAGCTGCAGCTCAAGCCCAGTGCGATGCTTAAAAGAAATAACTAGATAGTCTAAAAATGCCAATGGTTTCTCACAGGTGAAAATCTGACGCCAAAAAAAAAAAAACCACTCTGCACCAGCAGTGCTGATCACACAACACACCCAGTGTGATCACATGCACACCCAGCAAATGATCACACAACACACCCTGCAGTACACACCCACAATTCACCAAAACTGCATAACATTCTAGCACCTTCAACACTGAAATCATACTTTGAATTATTAAAAAATAATAATAGTTTAAATGAATATGAATGCAATTGATTTTATCTATCTATCTATCTATCTATCATGTATATAATTCTGTGCGCAACAAAGCACTGGAATGGTGCAAATTGGAAATGGCTCAATTTGTTGTTTATTATCATTATCACTGCAAATATGTTCTATTAATTGGTAAAGATGGCTGCAGAAAGGGTTAAGACAGACATAATTGATACCCACAAGCTAAATGACTGTACAGAAATTCATAATCTTTGGTTTTGATCTAATCTCATCTGTAATCACTTTATAATCCATAAAGCAGTTAAACTTTAATTAAGGACATTAAAAACCAAAGGGACAACATGCTGCCTTTGGTCCTCATAGATTTTCCATGAAAAAAAAAGTGATTTATACAATTTGGAGCAACTTGAGAAAGTAAATAATTAACTGTTCCTTCTAAAAATATAATAATTAATGGAATCATTTTTATACAACAAAGAAAAGCACTGATGAACATTTTAAATCTTCAAAAAAAAAAGAAAGAAGAAAAAAAACAAGTTTAGTTTTATCTTTCATGATTATGCTGAACTCTGATATGGGAATAAAACTGTTCAATGAACTCTGATAGTTCATTGCCCTTTACCTTTGTCTTTACTTTCTTATCACAGTATATATGATAATATGAGAAGTGTTAATGTCACACATCTCATATGCTGCACAAAGGATTTCAGCAAAGAAACGCTATTGTTTTGATATCACTCTTGCATCCTTTTGAGACACAGGCCGTTTGTGTTGTCTGCCAGTATACTAACAGACTGTTGTAAAGGAGGTTTCACACTGAGATCCATAAAAGCTTGTTTGATTCCACCAACATCACGCCCCACTCTCGGTCACATGAGAGCAGAAATGTGTTATAATGTGCTATACCTGCCCTCTCTAAGACAATGCGTTCGTCTCAGCATGGGGTCTTGGCTCTTCTCTGTCAGGATGTTTCTTTCACCTCTTTCTCAGAACAATACATGTCAAATCACCAGTGGCCATGGGAGTCCATCCTGGCAGACAAATTCTCCAGCCACAATTCTTATGAACCTTAACACCTCTTCTGAGTGTACATTCTTGTGTGTTTTAGATGGATAAATCATCAAAACTCCTAAAGCGACCTCGATGGACTAGTGAACCAACACAGAAAACAAAAGCCCCTTTAATTGGCAAGAAATTATTTCCCTTTGTCGAGTTATCAGAGGGATTATCTGGTTTTATAATAGAAGAAACTCATGTAATATCCAGCGGGATTTGTCAAAATTAATGTTCAATTTTAACAAGATTAAATGTTGGCAAGTAACAAACTCAAAGCCCATGGGGGGTGTTGAAAAACACAGTAATAAGGGCAAGTATCACGCTGTGAAATAACAGTAAAGTTCATTCCACTCATGGCAGGGGTTATTTCCTCTGAAATCACCTTGTCCCCACTCAAAGATCCACTCTTAGTCAGCTAAATCATATCTTACATCATTCAAGATATTTTGTGTTAACAGCTTTTAGTGGCAGATGAATGTATAAGTTGAGTCTTAACAACAATGGAAAATAGTTAATATAGTACTACTCAATTTTTAATCAAACGAGAGCCAAAGATCATCAAAGATAATTATATAAATTAGAATAATAAATTTACATTTTTACATACATTTTCATTATACAAATACACACACACACAGTATTAAAAGTTTGGGGTCAGTAAGATTTTTTAAAAATAAATGTATACTTATTTAGCAAGGGCACATTCAATTGATCGCAAGTGACAGTAAAGACTTCTACACTGTTACACAAAAATAATATTAAAAAAAGCTTTCTACTTATTAAACGATTATGGTTTCCACAGATATATTAACTCTTTAAGGATCATGTGACACTGAAAACTGCTGAAAATTCAGCTTTCATTATAGGAATAAATTAAACCCTAAGCCCGTTTAAAAACAAAAACAAATTTAAACAACATTTTTATTGCTGTTTTTATCATATTTTTCATCAAATAAATGCAGCTTTGTTGAGCATAAGTGACTTAAAAAAAAAAAAAAAAAACTTACTGAACCCAAGCTTTTAAATTGTGGTAAATGCATACATTACAGACATTTAGGTGAGTATACTCTTATAGTATTGTGTGCCCTGCACATTATGTAACAATAATAAGTCAACTTTAAAAGTCCAGTGTCATAGATATATTACAATTTGATACCAATAAAATGGCCTCAAAGTTCAAAGTGCTTGCGTTTATTTCTGTTCATCATTCAGTCACTTTAGTAATTATATAATTACATTACATTCATTTAAATATACTGTAGACATTCGGTTTGGTTTGGGGTCCAAATTAACAGTCAAAGATTTTAAGAAACTGTGTTAAGAGCCTTCAACGTCCTTCCATAGAGTGATGCACTTTATTATTAAAGCTTCTCTGTTTCATACGCTTGGTTGATCATACCCTCATCCATACTCTCTTTAATTACACCAAGAAAGCCTTCATCCTTTGGATTGTTGTCAAAATGTCCTGTTTCTCCGCTCATACGCACTTTGGTTTTGGGATACCTGTAGCACATTAAGAGTAGTCCACTTACAATGAGCAGGCAACCTGAACCGATCCCAATCCCAATCCCTGGACCCACTTCCTGTTTCACTGGAGCAGAAGGCAAGTAGAAGTCAGGCGGGAAGTCTATAGTGAGATTCGCCAGCACAGAATTCATATTCCAAAAGACGGGGACCAGCGAACATGCTGCAGTTAGCCAGAACAAGGAACCCGCCATCACAAAGGTCAATCTGACATGCCTGTTGTTAACCCCGAAGATGGCATTTCTCACCACATGTCCAGCCACTAGGATTGCGAGCACCCCCACGCCAACAGCAACCATGCAAAGTACCTGGGCGGCTGCTATTTCTGGTGGAGTGAATGAATCTGTAAGGCTGATGCTTTTGCAGATCTCAGCTGAATCCAAAATGTGGCTGTTGAAACAGACCCGCCACACTCCCACCCAGGCCAGTCCACCGGTGATTACCGTCTGATTGTCCACGTACCATATCCTCCAGTCGTTCACCCCAGAAATGGAGGCTGTCATTATCCATCCTATGAACCCAAGCACTAGACCCGCAATCTGCCAATGGACTGACTGGGGAAGGTAAGCCATTGCTAAAACTGCTGAGTCCCGACACCAGGTGGTGATGAATATTTCCTCCTCAGGTCTGCACACTGTCCTTCAGGAGCATGGCTACATCGCAGTCATACCACTTCTGTTAGATTAGAGAAAATAAAAAGGCTTTTTTAACCCAACACTAGGGGCAATATGAGGGGACCCCATTCCTAAAATACAACAGCAACTAGTATCATTAAACATTTTGGGATCACTAATTAGTAGTTTGATAAAAAAAAATGACAATACTTTTACACCGTTAAAAAATATAATATTTAAAGTGCTGTTCTTTTGGACTTACTATTCATATATGATAGGCTATATGATTTCGGTTGGGGATTTGTTGTGCCGCGCCGCGCGTAGACAAGGTGTAACATTGGTTTTGCTTTGTTTCACAGAACTAATCGTTGCCTGGGTTGCGTACCTTTATGTGGGGCGGAGCTATCAGAATAGAGGCAAGACCCTTTTGGGGTAGGGGCGTGTTTGTTTTGGTGATTTCAAATATCAACATTGGCTACCAGAAATCACTTACTCTGCCTTTAACAATATGACAGTAAAGAGAAAACAGGAAAATACAGGAAGAAAGAATGGGACAGGGACGCAAGCCAGACTGAAACCTGCGTCCCACAGTGCCACAGCCTCTTACAGATGAAAATATAAATGACACAAACGCATGACGTGGAGTAAAAGACAGCTGGTATTTTATAGACAAGCACTGAATCCTTAATGAAATAATATTGTATCGTTTAGGCAAGTCTTTCAGAATACTTACAGTCAGTCCTAATTTTGAAGCATTGTTTGGTGATATATCATACATTCATCTATAAAAAGCGTGCAGACTAAAGTGGTAGTTTGCTTCGCTAAAATGAAGTGAAAGAGTACAATTCTAGCCTATTCTAGTTATATACAAAGATTCAAAAGGCTAAAATAAATTACTAAAAATATCATTGAATTATTTTAAACATGACCAGGATAGAGACACATGTCCTTTGAAATTATGCACCATCAAAAAGTCATTTTCGGAAGTTAATTACAACCTCCTGGTGTAAATGGAAACAGCTTACATGTGCAAAGCTTTATGCCACCGGGATTAGTGTATGTTTGAATCACAAGAGTTTGTATTGGCGTTCAGGCATAAGACATTTTGAGGTGTCTTTCATTGCCCTCTAGTGGTTAAAAAGATACAGCACAGTGAGTGACCACGGCATGTACATACAGTGTCAAGTTTTGAGAGCACATTGGTGCAAAAAGGGCATGATCTATTTAAACCGATGTGGGGAAAAAAATTTAAAGTGTCTTTAAAAATTATTATTATTTCACCATATAATTCTATGGGTCGTGTAACATTGGAACGTCATTAAAGTATAAGACCAGCTGACAGGTGATTTGGTCAAATCATGATCTAAAAGTGCCCAGCACTTTCACAGTCTTTATGAGTCTTGCCAAAATGCTGTCTGCTGGGGCAGACAAGAAGCACTCAATATATGACCAGAATGCAATTCCATTGGCAGTAAATGGACCACATTAAGTACTGCTTTGGAACCCTGTTATTTAGAGTGACGTCAAGCGAGTTGCTCTGGATCGCTGCATAAACTGTTTTTTTAAGTCCTCAGTTGGTTGTCCTCTGGTCCATTGGGAGACTGTCCATCAGACAATTGAGCTGCTCCTCCCCCAGTTTGATCTTGTCCTCGAGCTTGCGCTGCTCAATAATAAGGGCAGACTTCATCTTCACAAAGTGCTCATAGTCAGCCATATTCTCCTCTGACAGGTAGCTCGCCAGGATGTCGTAGACGACCCGTTCTCTCCTGTCAAGGTTCTCCTTCAGCTCCTTGGCATCCTCATGTTGACGGATCAGCAGTTTGCGTTTCTCGGTCAGTGTACGCTGCAGAAAGATGATGAAGAGTTTCAATAAAAGAATAATTCAATCAAAATCATTATTTTATCTTTAAATGCAAAGCACCTTGTAAAAGTTTTTGGCCATGAATGTTTGTGTGTGTGTGTGTGTATATATGTATATATAGGGATCACTAATTAGTAGTTTGATAAAAAAAATGACAATACTTTTACACCGTTAAAAAATATAATATTTAAAGTGCTGTTCTTTTGGACTTACTATTCATATATGATAGGCTATATGATTTCGGTTGGGGATTTGTTGTGCCGCGCCGCGCGTAGACAAGGTGTAACATTGGTTTTGCTTTGTTTCACAGAACTAATCGTTGCCTGGGTTGCGTACCTTTATGTGGGGCGGAGCTATCAGAATAGAGGCAAGACCCTTTTGGGGTAGGGGCGTGTTTGTTTTGGTGATTTCAAATATCAACATTGGCTACCAGAAATCACTTACTCTGCCTTTAACAATATGACAGTAAAGAGAAAACAGGAAAATACAGGAAGAAAGAATGGGACAGGGACGCAAGCCAGACTGAAACCTGCGTCCCACAGTGCCACAGCCTTCTTGACATTTCACAAAACAAGTAAATGTTTGGAATGTACAAAGACAAAAGGACAAGGTCAAGCAACCATTTCTGACTGAAGAAAATGCTTTTCACATGTTTAAAAAATTGTGGTGACGAGCGATGTTTCCAGAGGGAGGAAAAAGGACACTGCGTTGAAGGCCAAGCATAAGGCTACGCATTTGAGACCAAACAGAGAAGGAAGAAGCGGACAAGAAAAGAGAGAGAGAGAGAGAGAGAGAGAGAGAGAGAGAGAGAGCGAGATAATGCATGAGAGAAGAGAGAGAGAGAGAGAGAGAGCACTAATATTTCCTGCCTGGCTCCCTGCACACCTGGGGTTGCGGAATGTTCCAGGATAAGCTGAAAGGTCATTCACAATAATCAGTTTCTTCACACACAGGAATCAGAGATAGCGACAAATTAATAGAGCTTTGGATAATTGATTTCCATGGGAATTTAACACTTTGCCAACCCCCACCCCCAGTAAATAACTCCCCCATATTACTGCCTAATATATTAAATAGACAAAATATGTCATTTATTGTTGCAAAATATATTGAGCACATTCAGTTGTTCTATAACCTTATATGACCTTTTCGCTATTTCCAGCAGTTTCTCAAGCTCTTGTTAAACTTTATAGTCACTTGTGTAAAGCCGATTGATAAAGTAGGCTATAGCCTATACATCCTTCGAAATGTCAATAAATAAAACACAAACTCGTGCTTACCTGTGAAATGTTTTGATCTCCGGAGGATCTTCTCAATTGTAAATCACTTCATCTAAAGTACAGGATCCTCACCTGTGCTGCTCAAACGGAGCTAGTGGAAATGACAACTTTGCGAACTGACAAGTACAAGTCAAACACAACTGTGGTTAATGATTAATGTAGCATATCCAATAAATGGATAAAAGAGGGCGGGGAGGATCAATGCAAAACAATGATATATATACTGTATATATATATATATATATACACACTATTATTATATATATATTATTACTTTCTCTTTCTACACACACACCACACGTGTGTATAGGACACAAAACATGAATCTATATACAAATAAGTGCATTTTAATAATCTGGTAGCCCATTTAAATCTATATAAAAGCTATGTTACTAGAATAGTAATGCAAGTAATACCACTGTACACAGTTATTACCATTTTCCATAGTACCAATTTAAGGCTCTACGGATTAAGATTGTAAGGAAACACTAAAGGATCTGGATCTGGAGTGATGTGAGCTGGACTCAATGTGGTTCCGTCTGTGTCAGCAGTAGGCCATGCCGCATAACATGCTACTTTTATGTTAATGCCGTTTTCCAGCCTTTATAATATTCAGTGTTCTTTTTCAGCCTATTTTCTTATGCTTTTTGAAACTGTTAATTCTGGACGTCATTCCTCCACAACATCAATCCTGCTTTCCCACATCCCTCATTTTCATTCTCACCCTCTCCTCCAGTGAAGCGTCTTCCTCCAGGCTGTTCAGAGCATTCTCTACTCGGGCCAAGCGTCCAGACAGAGACAGCAGAAGGTTGACCACTTTATCAAGATCACCAACGAACATACGGAACTTTTCGAGTTCATTAGGCTTGCAGACACCCTGTACGATGGCCTCCACATCCTCCCCAAGAGCGTTGTTGTCTTGCAACACTTGTGTAAAGCCGATTGATAAAGTAGGCTATAGCCTATACATCCTTCGAAATGTCAATAAATAAAACACAAACTCGTGCTTACCTGTGAAATGTTTTGATCCCCGGAGGATCTTCTCAATTGTAAATCACTTCATCTAAAGTACAGGATCCTCACCTGTGCTGCTCAAACGGAGCTAGTGGAAATGACAACTTTGCGAACTGACAAGTACTTGCACGTCCTCCTGTAGACTCTCCTGAGCTTCCCTCAACACCTGCAACTTCTTGCTGAGACTGTCAATCAACTCATGCTGCGATGAGAAAGAAAAACAAGGACAAAGTCACTTGATACAATGGACTAGTAAGAAGTATCTGATTGTATCCCAGATGTGTTACTACAGCATGTTAGTACCTTCTTGCTGGCAATATCACTTTCATTGTCCTCGTCCAGCTCCTCCTCTGAGTTGTGTTCCACACTCTGTTCCTGCATGTCCTTCATCTTAATCAACAGCTCTGCTTTGGGTGCAGATGTACTGTAGTAGGTTGAATTAGTCACTAAAGCAGTGGCTGCCACCAGGCTGTCCTCCTCTTTCCTGAAAACCCACAGATGACTTTTATGAGAAACATGAATTGATCATAATGGATCCAAACACCACAGAATTACATGTGACAAAAACAATCAAACAGTGATGTTCGCTCTAACAATGGCAGATATGAGTGTTTAATAATAATTATTTTTGCTATTCAGTTTCAGTGACTTCAGATTTACACAAAAAGTCTGCCAGATTGCTAGATGAGTTAGTGCCCCAGATCTGCAACAAGAAAAATAAACCATGCTTATGAATCATAACTTGAATGAGGAAGTAGACTGGACAGGCTACAATTTAAATATTCACTAAATACCTTTGTCAGTTTTTTTTATTTTTTATTAAAACCACATGGGTAGGGCTCAACAGCAACCCTGACCTACTGATTAAAAAATAAAAATAAACGGAACATCAAACATACAAGTTCAATCTGTCTTCCTTCTGTATAGGTTTGTAATTAAAGGGATAGTTCACCCAAAAATGAAAATTCTGTCATTAATTACTTAATTACCCCCATGTCGTTCCAAACCCGTAAGACCTTCATCTTCGGAACACAAATTAAGATATTTTTTGATGAATCCTGAGAGCTCTCTGACCCTTCATAGACAGCAAGGATCCTACCATGATCAAGGTCCAGAAACATAGTAAGGACATCGTTAAATCCTCACCTGTGCTGCTCAAACGGAGCTAGTGGAAATGACAACTTTGCGAACTGACAAGTACAAGTCAAACACAACTGTGGTTAATGATTAATGTAGCATATCCAATAAATGGATAAAAGAGGGCGGGGAGGATCAATGCAAAACAATGAAAAGTTACTATACTATTACCATAAACCTGTGTATTGTTTAGGCCTATCCAGGTGGTCAGTTGAACATGGCAGGTGTTTTGTGTAATATTCTTTGAGAACGTCCTTGAATTGTACGTGTGTTCACATGATAATGTAACGTGTTGCGTAGCTGTAAACACAAGCAGCCACATTTGCGTAAAAGGTAGGTATGCATTATTTTTTTAATATCATATTTCAAATGATCAATAAAGCCTGACAACAATCGCATCATCTTTTTCTTTTAGTTTCTTCATCTTAAATCAACGTAGGCTATTTTTCCCCCACGCTGCTCCAGCTAATACGCATGCGTTTTGGAGTAAACATCAAAAAGCAGATTATTTTTTCTATTACTGTTTTCAGACTTTAAAATAATACGTTTGTAATTATGTTGAAATATATTGAACGCCATAATATTATGTTAAGTTGCGCCATTATTTTGCTCAACCACTATCGGGTGAGTTTTACATGTCAAAGTCTCTTTCCTGATTGGCCAAGGCAATAAGACTTTAGGCGATCTGAAGTTAAATATTAGGTGATCAGAGCTATTCAGATAAAACAACGATTGCTTAGAGAATCAAGAAATAGAAGGATTGAATCAAGTAATACAAGTTTAAATTGCTTTACTGATACACACAATGTTGTAGGAACATGCCAGTATAATTACACTTAGACGTAATTCCTTTAATCTGGATTATCAACTCAATGTAATTAAAGTTTAGCACCTAAAAAAAAGATACAAGTATTTATTTGAAATGATGCACACTTACATGATAGGAACAACAATATTAAAAAAGTATTTTACCTCACAGATTATCAGACAACTTTTTTTGTTTGTAGAATAAATCTTGGTTGACAAATACATGCGCTATTTCTACAATAATATCGGAAACAATGAATTTGTGTCACACTGCATCCATGCCATAAAGTGTCAGTATAAAGCAATAAAGACCATCCTGAGCTGTGGCATGAAAGACGGCATTCATTGCATGCTTTAAAAGCCTTCCAAAGTAATGTTACTGGTAAAGCAGCTAAAAAATATATATATATCGGCTAAATTCAACATGATGATAAAGTAATACATGCAGTCTTTTCTACGCAATGTATCTTTTATGAAAAAAGATTTGACACTGAAATATAATAATTACGAGGAACAAAGTTAATACACTCATGACACGGCATTTCATTATCTATTTGCAAAATTGTTACTACTTACTATATTACATGTTGTTTAAGTTGCTGTGTAAATGTACAGGACATTTTAGACTGGAATATGATGCATTTTTTCTTCCGTTTATATGCATTTTGAGTCTATTCTGACCACATAAAAAAAACCATGAAACCACAAATGTGACCCTGGAGCACAAAAGCAATAATAAGTAGCACAGGTATATTTGTAGCAATAGCCAACATTACATTGTATGGGTCAAAATGATCGATTTTTCTTTTATGCCAAAAATCATTAGGATATTAAATAAATATCATGTTCCATGAAGATATTTTGTAAATTTCCTACCATAAATATATCAAAACCTAATTTTTGATTAGTAATATGCATTGCTAAGAACTCATTACCCCCATGTCGTTCCAAACCCGTAAGACCTTCATCTTCGGAACACAAATTAAGATATTTTTTGATGAATCCTGAGAGCTCTCTGACCCTTCATAGACAGCAAGGATCCTACCATGATCAAGGTCCAGAAACATAGTAAGGACAGCGTTAAAATAATCCATGTGACATCAGTGGTTTAACCATAATTTTATGAGAATACTTTTTGTGCGAGTCATCCTGGCGCCATTTTGGAGAGTATCATACGTAAACAATGTATGCTGTTCTGTGTCAGCCGTTTTGATCTGAACGTAAACAACGTATCCGCGTACATACATGTGATACTCTCCAAAATGGCACCAGGGTGACGTGGAAGAGACAGATTGTTGTCGTTATTTTTGTTTTCTTTGCATACAAAAAGTATTCTCGTAGCTTCGTAAAATTACGGTTTAACCACTGATGTCACATGGATTATTTTAACGATGTCCTTACTAAGTTTCTGGACCTTAATCGTGGAGACAGAGAGCTGTCAGATTCCATCAAAAATATCTTAATTTGTGTTCCGAAGATGAACGGAAGCCTTACGGGTTTGGAACAACATGAGGGTGAGTAATTAATAACAGAATTTAAATTTTTGGGTGAACTATCCCTTTAAGGGCAAATTCCTAGAATAAATAAATAAAAAAAATGTCAAACTGAGGAAATAGGAATACAAAAATACTGACTTCTCCACAGAGTTGCGAGGAGAGAGCTGTTTAGGTGCAGCTTTCCTGCGCTGTTGGGCCTCTTCCAGTAGCTGCTCTCCTTGAGGGAAAATCCCCTCCATCAGATCCATGGTGGTCTTCATCTTACTCTGGTCTAAAATGTCCACTAGGGACTTGTCCTTGTCCATTATGTCTCTAGCAAGCTCCTTTCTTTTTTCGTCATCTTCTGACCGCAAGGGATGTGAAGACACTCCGTTGCTGCTTTGATCAGACGAAGGGGCCGTCTGCAGGCCATGTAACGCATAAGATACTGGGTTCACACTGGTTTGTGGACCCTGGTCTTTCAGAGGGCCAATATCTGCTTCTCTCGGATCAGGCCCCTGGTCCTTTTGCCTGGTGTAAGTACAGAACAGAGAGTATGACTGATCCGGGTTTCCCAAACTCTGAAGATGAGTTACTCCAGGTCCTTGAGAGCTGACAGGGGTCTCGATGGGTAGGTCGAGATATTGTCGACTTTCTTTTTCGGTGTCACTCTCGGAGTGGACAATCTTAATGGGAACTTTCTTCACTGACGTGTTCTCATCTTTAACCCTATCCATCCTGGTAAACAACAATGATGAAAACAGAAACGTGTTATGGTGAATGAAAGAAATGCAACATAAGAAAAACTAGGTAACTATGCAAAAGAATAAACACAACAAGGACAGGAAAAACTATTTTCATGGGTATAATCTGTGTAGAAAAACATGAAATGTGATCTTTTATTTCAGGCTAGCAGGCTCTGCATACAGGAAAACAAGAAATGTCAGTTCCTGTGACCAAATCCATGCATATAGTTAAGAATCATACAACAATGTCACTATAACCCAAATGTCCAGTTCAAAACCTTGGTCTTCTCCAGGCTGTAAGACTACTAAAAAGTTGCCATATTCCAGCAAAAACAAAACTGGGGGGAATCCCTCTTATGACTGATCTGAAGAACTGCAGCACACATGGGCAATCTGCAGTAAGGACACATATGAATAAGCTCCTTGTATGTGCATGAATACAATAAAGAGACAGTCAGAGAAGCACTGTCATTAAATTACTGGGCTGTAGGGAGAATTTCCAGTGATGGTTTTAAGATTGCAGCTGAGAGGAGCCCAGCTGTGGTTTGCCAGTGAAAATCTCCCTGAATTCCAGCACAGACCTGAAAGAATTCCTGAACGGCGGAATTTAACTCTAAACACACAAAGTCTTACCTTCCAGGAGCTTCATCCTGTATGGAGACGGAGACAGGGGGCTTGTCAGTCAGCCTCTGGGGAGCAAACTGGGGCGAGGGCGAACGCTGCCCCTCCATGGTGGGCTGGGTCGGGCCAGCGGTTTGTTGGGTGGGCAGGACAGCTGGAGGGGGAGGAGGTGGAAAGGGAGGAGGCACAAGCTCTTGTTGTAGCTCCTCCTCCTTGGTTGGCCCTTTGCTGTGCTGCTCGGAACCCTTCCAGGGAACAGGGACTGAAAGAGGGGCGGAGCTTTGATTGTTGACAGGAGAAAGTGAGGCCAAGACTCCTCCTCGTGATCCAGGCTGGACCTCCTGAAATTTGCTAAGAGGAGGAGGTGTGCCCTCAGGGCATTTGTACTTCTCCAGATGGGGCAAGAGAACAGAGCTCTTGTTTTTGGAGAGGGCTGATGGTTCACTGCGATTGCTATGGTCAGAGAAATGCTGTGCAGTTTTATGATGACTGGATGGAGGATCTAAAGCCTTTTTCTCCAGGTCTTCAGTCAAAGCCAAAGGAGGTGCTTCTGGTTTCTCCTTGCATACAAGTTCACTGTATCCTTTCTCATTTAACCTAAGAAAACAAAGGAGAAATGGTTTGAAGTAAAATTCTCAATCCACCAATGCACGCAACCAAAGAAGATTTATCAAAGGCCCAGACTCTGAATGTATTTGTCCTTTTTGGCGCACAAAGCCTCACTGTGTTCAGCGTAAATCGATAGGCAGGCAGACATTTCTCCCACATTTCACGTGCGTGCGTGTGCATGCATGCATGCATTTATGTTTGTGCATGTATGTATGTGTGTGTGTACGTGCATGCATGTGTGTGTATGTATGTGTGTGTGTACGTGCATGCATGTGTGTATATGTATGTGTGTGTGTGTACGTGCGTGCATGTGTGCATATGTTTATTTGTATGTTTGTTTGTGTGAATGTGTGTGTATATATATGTATATATGTGAGTGTGCATGTGTATGTGTGCGTGTGTATGCGAATGTGTGTACATGCATGCGCGCGTTTGTGTGTGTATGCATGCATTTATGTGTATATCTGTATATTTGTGTGTGTGTGTGTGTGTATGTGAATGTGTGTGTATATGTGTGTGCTTGGTGTGTGTGTGTGTGTGTGTATATATATATATGTATATATGTGAGTGTGCGTGTGTATGTGTGCGTGTGTATGCGAATGTGTGTACATGCATGCGCGCGTTTGTGTGTGTATGCATGCATTTATGTGTATATCTGTATATTTGTGTGTGTGTATGTGAATGTGTGTGTATATGTGTGTGCTTGGTGTGCATGCATGTCTTTGTGTAAATTGAAGCTGTTGGTCACTGCAATGTTCAGGAAGTGCTGGAAAATTTCCCTCACTTGGCAGATCCATCACACCCATGTAGAGAAGCAGACCTACGTACTTTTTGTGGAAACCATTCATGAATATATGAATATATGAATATAATTAACAAAGAACAGCATTTTTTTGGAATATTTATTTATTTTTAACAAAGTAAAAGTCTCTCACTTTTGATCAATATAATGCATCCTTGCTGATTTAAAATATCAATCTTAAAAAGCAAAAAAAAACAAATCTTACAGACCGAAAACTTTTGAAGGGTAGTGTACAAAAGGAAGGCAAAAGGCAAAGTGCAGAAAAACGTATGAACTTTAAAAGTCATTCTCAGTGTTAACTGAAACATGCTTTCATTGCAGATGTCATTAGTATTGCTTGCATGCATGGGTAACATTCAAGTAGGATGCAGGTTCTTTCTGATACTATAGTGTCTAACACATGCATTTGATCTCAACATGATCTGGCATGCAGAACGTCTCTGCTGTAATACTATGTAAGCTTTTGTCCACAACACCCCACCTATAATCAAACATCAGTCTCTTGCTAACTAACCTTGTTTGATAAAGTTCATATGACAAAACATCTACCAGTACTAGAAACGTCTAATGGAGAGACGTACCAAACATCGCTCCACGTGTATAAGCAACTGTTTCATTGTTTACTAAGCATTTTACATGCAAAACACTGACCTGCATTCACCTATTAAGTAAAAACAGAATGAAGACAAGAGAATTATCATTAACTGATAACTAAAAACTAAGAAAACACCTCTAAAAAAATGTATCTCACAGACTCAGGATGACTCAAACTTCATCAGAAAGACTTCAAACAGGAAAGTCCATAATCCAGGTACTCGTGCTACTGTCCATATAAAGCTGCTATAAAACAACTAAATGGCAATCCTTGCATTAAGTTCTCATCTCAGCAACAGGTGCTTTCTGGAGCCCTGAACATATGTAATCTCAACCTGGGTGGGGCTAAAATGCTTGTAGCTCAATTGAAATGCTTCCAACTGGATTTAGTCCACACTAGCTGACTGTACTTATAAAAGTCAACAGTTGCAAAAAGAGTTTTCTAACATTAGAAGTCTCTGTCAATGTCAGTCACTTACTGACATGAAGAATCCTTTCAGCTATGACTTTCAGCTAGATTTTTATAATTGAGTTGTGCGTGTTTGCACGCAAGTAAAATGATTGGGTGGCAGACAGGAAAACTTTGACATTTAAAAAAAACGATTTCTAAGAAAACTCATAGTGCTATGAAGATGCAGGTCTATGGTATAATTCATAGTTTGCTCTCCACAGCACCTTAATTACAAGCAAGAATCAAGACAAAACCTTTCATAGGGGGCAATTTACAAGGCTTTGGATGATGGAAGTTTGGCGGTAACATGCTTATTCAAGTTTGCCACTCCTTACGTCTACACATAGGATTCTAAGAGAATGACCCAGAGAAGCCAAAGGATGATATGCCTGAAAAGTTATGGTTATATAAATACAAGAAGGTTAGATAAATATTAAGATAGGTCAGGTAGGTCATCTGTTACACACGCACACAACTGGAAGCTGTTTGTGACATTAGAAAATTATCTTGTTGCTGTTGCTTTGATAGACAGAGTCAAATTAATGGCAAGGTAAACTGAAACTTTAATTAGCATCTCAAACATTGAGAGTACATATCCAATTTGACCTGAATCACACTACTGGAGCCCCACCTAAAAAGTCTGCATGTAAAAGGAATAACATCCCAGCCATCTATCTCTTATCCTTAAACTGCATCTTCAAAGGACACAGTTCTTCATTCTGTGTTTTCTAGATTATAGTGGGAGAAGTGATAGATAAGTGAGGATCAATTTAACATGTTTCACAGGCTAGACATGAAAAGACATGATTTCAAAACTTGCAAAGGTAACTGGAGGTCATTTCATGCCCAGCAAACCACACTATCACAGGCTGCAAGTTTTCCAACAGTAGAATTGTAAAAACTGTAGCTTCACACAGTTAATGCTACTTCCTTTCTGTGCCAGTTAGATACATTATTCAAGCACACAATATACACACAAGCCTTCTATTCTTCATCCAGATGGTTTTGAAATTCAGAATGTTCGACATTAAGCATTGAAGTTTCTCCTTAGCAGAGTACAGGGCTACCATTCATGCTTCTTTCAGGATAAAATGCAATACCTACTAGATTACATAATAATGTAGAGTGAAACTTGAATCAAATCTTATCTTTGCAAAGTTTTACAACTTTAAAATACTGAAATGAGGCAAATTATCTTAAAAAAGCCCTTTAAAGAAGTAGGAAGAGCAAAAATGTAATTTAGGCTGCTATTTTACTCTTTGGCCTTATTATGAATGGACTTATTGGACACTTCCTATGTCACACTCACATGCCTACACCTCAAACCCATCTCGTTGTAACAAAGCCCAGTCAGTGAGGATAGCAGTGCTGTCACAGCTGGGCTAAATCCCAAAGCTGTAAGGACCATAAAGAGTCTACTGTTTGTCTTTGACCCAACGGGAGCTGATTGCTGGCCCAACTGTGGATTTCTGTATGCAACAAGGTCAAGATCAGAGCCATTAGCACAGGAATAGTTTCACCGACACACTGACACTGTCTCAGCGAGGAAGAGTTGTTTGGCTTAGTTTCAAACAAGCCCAGAAGTATCATGATAATCATGACAAAAAAGTATGTTAAAAATGATATTTAATAAGCACATTAAAATTATGTATTATCTTTTTACTCTTTAACACAACTTGCAAGGCAATGGAAAAATAACAAAACAGCACTCACCTTGTACTATTCTTATCCTGTTCGCAGAGATTTGTCTCAGGCTTGGAATAGTCAGCTGACTTCTTTTCTTGAACTGGAAGTTTCTGGGAGGAATATAATACACATACAACTTAATCTCCTCGTTCAGGTATTAATAGATCTCAACTGCTGTTAACTTTGGCTATTTTAAGACTATTGTCTTTTGTAATTATGGTCTTAGTTGGTTGACATGATTGTGTGATCGTACTTGCAACTTTCCTGGTCTGAGGGTGTGACTTTTAGTTTAATGTTTGACTAAGTTCCGTCTTTTATATTGCTATTCACTGGGGCTAAGTCACTTTTGATTTATGATGCTTTCTAAATAAAAACAAACTCTGACTCGTGTTTAGTAAACAGTTTACAAAATTTGAACAGATATAACACCAGAATTAAATCACTGATAACTGAGAGACTTCATTAAATATGAAATAACCAACCCGTCCATAGAAGTCAGCAGAAGGGGAGGATCTAGATCTTTCATGCACACAGGTGGGCTTACTCCGTCTCTCATTTCCTGAATCAAGGATGTTATCAGCGGAGTGGTATCGTCCAGATACCCTTGGTTCGGCCGTTTTCCTTTGGTTGTTCCATTTGGCTTCATACTCTGCAAAGCTGCCAAGTCGCTGTTGTTCTAGCATGGCTTGTCGGTTCACTGAATGAGGGCCATCCTGACCTTCATTAAGGTGGTGTTCAGTGGGGGTTGAGCTTTCACTGTTACTCCGCCCTGCTGTGTCACTCTTTGCAGAATAGTGCATGCCTCCAGACTTGGATAGTCTGGTGTCTTCAGATATCTGCAGGTTTTGCTTTGGCATAGGCTTAGGGAAAGCTGGTTTCCCCACTGCCTCAAATAATCTGTGCCGATTTTCTAAGGGTGCAGCATTATCAGGCACACTGGAGCGCTCATTAGCTCCTACTTCATGAATTTTATCTGGCTCAGAAAAAGACAGAACTTTCTTCTCTGCAGAAAACCGCTTGCGGCTACCAATGCGAAGCACCTGATTACTCCCCGAGGTGGGTTTGGTAGGTGGGACCTCGGAGACACCTGGAAGCAGAGGTGTGTCTTTCTGAATGGGACCCTCAGAACCTGGATGCTCAAACAAGACTGGCTCTAGGTCTTTCCTCCTAAAGGATGTAGCCTGGAGGACTCTGGCTTGGGCCTCTTTCAGATGGTCTTTATAAGAGCTGGAAAAGCAGCCATCTGAGGAGGAAGAAGAAGTCCCAGTGGTCTTCCAGACTGCAGGCTCTTCTACAGCTTCAACCGGACTTTCTAAAGTGGCTGCGCTTCGACTCTTTTGAAGCTGGGCCCTCCTCATCTGGATCTCATTGCGCAAGATGGTGGCAAATCGGTCACTTTGTCGTGCCTGTTTGCCACTCTGACTGTCAAGGGCTTCCTGTTGTGCACTTCCACTGTTAATCTCATCTTGACAGTCCTCCACGTCATTGTGCTCTTGGGCCAGAGAATACAGCATTGGTGTTTTCTGGGAACATATCTTTGACTCGCTTTTAGTTGGAAAGGGTTGTTGTGAGTATTCTTTAAGATGGAGATGACCAGCACTTCTCCTGTGCTCGGGTTGCTTACTTGAGGGATAACTACCAGAATGCTCATCTGAGCTAGACACTTGGTGTAGCTTTTGGCTCCCCCTTAATTCAGGTACATTCAAGGGATTACTTGGTGCAGAGAAAATGCGATGGTGGTTGTCACTTTGTTTGAAGGGGGCATTGTTGTCTTTATGCTCTGTATCATGGTCCTGTGACTGCGGTGGGAAATAGCAGTCTTTTGCTCCTCCTTGAGAACCTATGGACATCCTTTCCCGTCCACTGTGTGACATTTCTGAGACTGAAGAAGCTTTAGAGTCATCAACTCTCACTAAAGATGCCTGGGTCATTCCCTGAGCGATATGATGAGAGGTAACTCCAACATGACCGGACATTGATGCAGCTGGCCTTCTAGTTTGATTCTGACTATTGTGTTGCATGTGGTTGTTTGTGGGCAGCTCCTGCATACTGCTGAAGTAGCCACTGAATGGAGGTTTCAGTGCTGGTATTGTCCTAGTTTGAGCGTGAAAAGTGCCCTCGTCGCTGTATTGCCGTGGATGGTATGGAACATGGGCATAGGACTGATTTCTATCTCTGACGTCTGTCGTTGATAGGGAGTATGTCTTGTCTGATGACATACGGGGTGGATACTGATGATGGGCCTCGGATGAAATGTAGGGATTTGAGGAATCATTTTTGGACGGCAGGTTATAATCGCGTCGACCCTCAAGACCAGTCTCGTTGACTTGGTGAGACCTTTGTGTGCTTTCATGGGTTTCTCCTGTCTTATGCAATGCTTTTACCTGAGGCTTTAACTGGGTGTGAACACCAAGGCCTTCAGAGGTGCCTGTGATCAGACCCTTCTCATGAACCTTGGTAGCTGCAAAACTATCACTGCGTGTCGGTGGAGTAGGAGGTGGGGTGGAGGATACCATGTTTTTCTTCATATCTGGAACATGCCAGACAGGTCCAATACTAACTCTTCCAGAGCTTGATTGCCGAGTGCCTGGTTGTTCTTCGGCTTTTGGGATCTCATGGCTACCTGAACTTGAGAGATGCTGCAAGTATCCAAGCCTCTCCTCTTGTCGTATCGCTTCGCTTAGGCTTTGGCTATGTCTGCCATTGCTGTGCCTGCCACTCGAGTCCCACTGATTAATTTTGTACAGCATGTTCTCAGTGGATGCAGCGTTACTTTTGGACAGTGTGTAATCTGGGGTCCCTGAGCTTGTAGAAAAGGAGCTGTAAGCAGAGTCTCGTTTACCACCGCCCAAATGTTCAATGCTGTTATTGTTCGACTTGCTTGGGGAAAGACGACCAGGTGGATAGGGATGCGCGCTATGCTCTAGGCTGTCCATACTCCCCAAAGAGCTGAACTGGTCGGATACTCTCTGTAGATTTGTTTGCTCCCAGCCAGTTGAGAGTTCAGAAGAGAATGAACTATGGAAAACAAACACATGTAAAAAGTGTTTAGGCTGTATATACTTGAAAATGCAACTGCAGTAAGCCATATCAAAAGTTTCTGCCATTCAATGTATATTCGTAAAAGAAAAATAGAGGTCTTCATTCTGAAATCTTTACTGAAAGAAGCAATATAAACAGAAACTAATTATTTTCTGTCTCTCCAATTACCTTGCATCATATCTTGTTTGCCAGACTGGTGAGGGTGTGGACTGGTTTTTGGCCTCTGAGTGGCTCTCGTTGAACTTGGTCGCATGCCAGGAGTGAGGTCTACTCATGGGTTCATTTCTCCTGTGGGCAGCAAATGAAAAAGAGAGAAGGATGGAGAAAGATGTAGAGCAGAGGAGGAAAGATTAGAAAACAAGGCAATAAAATGTTGCTTTGTGAACAGCTGCAAAACGAATGGCAAACACGGATCACCAAGCAGCACTACAACTATTCTAAAGGACAGTAAAGTGTCAAAGCATGATAGATGATTATGGAAGTAGTGTAATGATCATGCCAAGAAACAGAGAAGTAGCCTGTGAGCAATGCCGATGTTGCAGTCATTCACCATCAACACAAAGTTTTTTAACTGTCAACCACAAAACCTGACAAACACCATTAAATATCCGTAACCACAAGCCCACTCTCTCAACACTCATACCACAGCAACATACCCTTTAAATCGATTCTTTCTGGGATGCATGAGGTGAAATAGACATAAATATAATTGTTACTGAAACTGCCACAACAACTAAACAGAGCCTCTTATAAGAAGTCGAATACATTGTCCTTATGAGATTATCAATAATTCAGTCCGTGCATATATTTTTTTTCTATAGACATTCCCATGTTTGCAAAATCTTAGACTACCAAAAACAACAAAATCTGGAACCAATGCTCATGAAATCAATACTTAAAACAATACTGCAAGAACTAATGAACAGGGTTCCCACAGCTTCCAATACATTTTCAAACTGGATAAGAATTTTTAAAAAGAATTTTGAGATTGCATTCATAAAGAGTAATTTATATAAAAATATATATTTTAGAGAAATTTCTATTACTTTTGCCATTTATTTTGGATTTGAAAAATAAGGCCTGGAAATTTTAAAACAATTATAAATTCCTTAATATTTCCAGGTTATTCATGATCATGGGAACCCTGAATAAGGAATGTGGAGCATATGCAAGGTGGAAAACTATTGGATGGAAATTTGAAATTCTGATGGATGATATCACAAGGCCATGGAGGGAATATGATTGTAGACCATTATGACTAGACTGGGTGGTACAGGAAAGGAAGTGGGGTTTCTTGTGGATACATTGATACCATACCTCATGGAACTTCGTAAAATCTTCGTGAGAAAGCTCCGGGCCATATGCACGTCGCTCTCTGATGGCATTTTCTGTGCTACAATATCCACCATTTTCATCTTCCTGAAGGGGGTTAAAAGGGGGAGGGACACATATAGTCGGAATCTCTTGAGTTCAGTAAAATTTGACGGGGACTCTAGTGCTGAATTCCAAATGGAGACATGAAAAGCCATCTCTGTGATGGGAAAATACAGACATACTAGCATGGGCCACAACACTGGCTGTAATTAGTCAAGCATTATATGCAAGAACACAAACACAAATATAGCCTTGCATAAAAAGCATAACCAATTCAGACAAAACGACCACAAAATGTTATACTTAAGACGTTATACTGTATGAAAAATACACTGTAAAAACACAGACAGTCCACATAAATGAAACCTGTGTTTTTAATGGCATGCCCAATTGTTGCAGACAGAGTTGAGAAGCACATGCATGCAAAAACTTTAGCCATAAGGCCATTCAGGAAAAGGCCAGCACCAGCACTGACAGAGGGTTTAAAAAGGACAAAAAAAAATTGTCTTCCTCTTATCTGGGAAATACTGTAAAATACTACTGACCAGAGATCTGCAACTTACAAACAATCGCATAGTGTGAATAGTGGACATTGGGAGACATCTAGTGGTTAAGGTTTAACACTACCATTCCATGTGACAATGTATGCCATAAAATAAAATTAAGTAAAAAATTTCCAGGATCTGTGCATGCAATGTTTGATGGCTGCATGCCTCTACTTTTACATCAATATGTTTAGTATGAAACATTCCTCGGCACGTTGCCCAACATCTCCCCAAACTAAAGAGTCCACCCACACCTGACCTGTGACCTTTAAGTTTTGAGAGACAAAACATTCCTGTCGTTTCTGAAATTCAGTCGTTTGATTTAGTGATAGGATTGTAAAAACAGAAATCCATCTCCTTGAATTTCAAACAGTCTAAACCCCAAGCTTGTGCAACTCTCCAAGAGACCGGAGGGGTTAAAACAACAGTCAATCAAAGACATGCAGTTTTGCTCCATTAGACCACGAGGTCAAGTGCCAGTCACCCCTCTAGCCAGTAAACAGTAAGAGACACTCTTCGAAATACAAGGAAAACAAAAACTACTATGCTAACCCAAATATCCTTGACCCCAAAACATTTGCTTAAACCAGCTTTGGCTACCTAAGCTGATGTTGTCTAAAACAAGATGTCCATGTTCATCCCTGTCACAGGTTTAAAAGATGGCGGAACAGATTAAACGGCAAATTATAGACAGAGTGGCCCAAAAGACACCCTCTGCTTTTGCTCAATGCTGCTCTCTTTTCTTGTGTAAAAGTTTCAAGTGTGTATGTGCTCGCCACACATGGGGCTAGCTATTCAGATGCTAATGACATTCTCTTTATTAGACGTATTGTCAGGGCTACAGCTGGTCTAGCACAGATATGCCAGTGGTCCGAATCAGTGGCGCCCAGGCGGAATGGAGGCCAAGGAGGGGGGTTCGGAGGGGAAAGTCCCCCACCGATGTTTTCAGAACAAGGCATGTTCAAAAACAAACAAATCACTTCTGAAAAGACAACAACCAATCCAAAGCCTGATGCAAATCATTCAGCTTGGGTAAAGAGTTAACATCAGGCTTTTGGAACAATTCTGCAACCAAAGTCTGTATTTAAACTAATAGAAGAAACCCATTCCAGCTGCATCCTGGGAAAATCATTCATTACTGATAGTTGGTCTATTGCAAGAGGGATGTGGATTCTTTTCTTCCTTTAATAGAATGCTAACAGGAAGTGTAACACAAATGTCAACACATTCCCAAAAATTCAAGGAATTGAAAAGAGCCATTTTTCTTAGCTTCGGTCACCCCAGGATTATTCAATTATTCTACTATCTACAATACTAGAGTACAACATTGTTCACCAGCCAAATATATTAAATAGAATATTTATATAATACATTAAATAACTATAAATATACGTTTTATGTTGTGCTCACTAAGGCTGCTTTTATTTGATCAATAATAAAGTAAAACAACAATGCTGTGAAATATTATTATAAACGGTTCTCGATTTTTTAATGTATAGGATAGAAAGAATGAATATGAATGAAGTTCAAAAGGGCAGCATTTATTTGAAAAACAATATATACAAATTTTGTAACAGTATAAATGTCTTTACTGTCCCTTTTGATCAATTTGTGTCTTTGCTAAATAAAAGTATTTTTCAAGAAAAATAACCTTCAAAAACGGCATTGTACCCACATACAGAGATTCACTTCTCAGTTAAAAGTGTGTACTTATTTATTTAAAAGGATAGGTTCGCTAAAAACTAATTTTTGATTTATCTTTGAATCATCCTTTTTTTATTCACTTTAGAGGCACTGCAGGTTTTTAATTTCTCCCATATAAGACAAAAGGAATTGTTAAACAAATGACACTCAGGTTTTTCCATACAATGTGATTCTACTGTTTTGAGCATTTATTTTGCTAGATAATTCCATTTGTGCTATCATACACATATCATGTGTTATGGCTCTACGTCACTAGGTGTCAGTAGTCATTCTATGTAAGAAGCTGGCTACAGAAGAAGGACTGACTTCTGGATGATCTGTTTATAACAAAAGGTCTCTTGGGTCAGTAATGTCAACAGGGCATTCAAACACGTCACAGTCGGAAACAGCAAAAAAAAATAGACTATGATTAATTAAACGTGCTCTCCTGAGGTTTTCTCAATCTAAGTTTCTGAGAACAGTAAATGAACAATCAACAAAACTTCACAGAATACACATGTGAGAAGATAATTTATGAGAATGACCGAATCTGAATCACAGACACGATACACATTCTCTTTGATAGTTTCACTGGGGGATTCAAGGTCATTTCAAGCCAAGCCAGTAAGCAGACGTTCCTAAAACAATAACAGCTCACAAAAAGATTTCTCAGAATCAGTCACAACTGAGTAACTCCAGACACACCTCTGTCACATGACTGCCTCCTCTCGTCTGTTTCAAGGACTGTATGTGAAGTCACGGTTTGTTTCTAAATTCTAATATTCATGCGGAACATGCGCAAAAAAGTCACTTCAGACATTGTCACTAGTGACAACAATGTTATTTTCATTAATACTTTCGAGAATCGCTTACTCTTTCCTTGAGCAAAACAATCAGTATTTACATTACTAAATAGAACAATGGTTCTCAACCTTGTGAAATATGGCAAATTGTGAAATATTGGAACAAAACCATGCATTTCATGCATTCAATCAGCTCATCTTAAAGGGTTAGTTCACCCAAAAATGAACATAATTTAAGATATTTTTTATGAAATCTGAGGTTTCTCTGACGCTCCCATAGACAGCAAGGAAACTACCACGTTCAAGGTCCAGAAAAGTACCAAGATGATCGACAAAAAGTAGTCCGTGTGACATCAGTGGTTCAACTGTAAAGTTACGAAGCTATGAGAATACTTTTTTGCGCAAAGAAAACAAAAATAACAACTTTATTCCACATTTTCGTCTCTACTGCGTCACTGGACGCGTGTTCACGACAGTACCATCAGTGAGTGAACCACTGATGTCACACAGACTACTTTGTCGTTCATCTTGGTACTTTTCTGGACCTTGAACGTGAGCAGCTCTTCCTCTAATGCTAATGAAATGTGTGTAACCCATGGGTGTCAACTCACCTTGCCAATGGACTGCTCCACAAATCATTTTAAAACAGGGTGGTTCAAGGATTAGCACCATGTGAAATTGCAAATTAAACACCACTTTGGCATTTAGGTAGCGCTAATTCAAAAGTTACAGTGTGAAATTAAGAAAACAAGAAAGTAATTTTATTGGATCACTGAGCACCTCTATAAAATCACATACAGATGACTTGACTGCACCCCTGCTCCGGTGATCAAGTTCAAGTCATCCTCTCTCAGTTAATGCCAATTATGCCATAGGAGAGATTTACTAGTTATAATTGGATTCTGAAGCTCAGAGTGACACAGCTCTTGTCACTATAGCCACTCACCTATTTTAAGCTATCGGGCAGAAGCATAGGGTACACAGTGCTGCCATCAATTTTGGCATGGCAATTGTCTTAGAAGGGTCTATTACCCAATGCATCACTTTAACATTTAAACTACACTCTGTAGCTGAAATATTTAGTCATTTAGATGCAGTTTTATAACTGAGTAATTACTAAAAGAGGGAGGAAAAATGTTAATGTCCTATTTTAAGCAGGCTTTTGGAACAATTCTGCAACCAAAGTCTGTATTTAAACTAATAGAAGAAACCCATTCCAGCTGCATCCTGGGAAAATCATTCATTACTGATAGTTGGTCTATTGCAAGAGGGATGTGGATTCTTTTCTTCCTTTAATAGAATGCTAACAGGAAGTGTAACACAAATGTCAACACATTCCCAAAAATTCAAGGAATTGAAAAGAGCCATTTTTCTTAGCTTCGGTCACCCCAGGATTATTCAATTATTCTACTATCTACAATACTAGAGTACAACATTGTTCACCAGCCAAATATATTAAATAGAATATTTATATAATAATTTTTTGGGTGAACTAACCCTTTAAGTTTATCTGATGCTTTTTGTAGCACATCTGTATTATTGGTTTGTAGGGCTCTTCTAACAGACTAGCAATCTCTGACGCTCTCTTTTCTAATAATTTATAGTTAAAAATGTTCTTTTGCCCCTTTGAATCGCTTCTTCTTATTCACCAGTTCCAGATGTGGCTTTTTCTTTGAAACTCAGCACAAAAGGTTTCATCCCAGGTGAAACTGCTGCTTGGCATGCACTTTTCAATGAAGCTGCCAGCTGAGAACCTGTGAGGTATTGGTTTCTCGAACTAGAGACTAATGCATTTGTCTTCTTGTGTATCTGAACCATCCGCATCCATCTCTGTCTGGGTTAAATCCAGTTTGCTGCTTTTGTTTAAAACATCAGTACATACACTCATAGAATAGCCTTCATTTCTTGAAAGAACAACAGATTGTGTGTTTATATAGAGAAAGCTGAATATTTTTTAAACCAAAATAAAACTTTTAAAAACCCAAATAATCTAGAAACTGGGTGTTTGTTGACTGAAGACAGATTTTGCATTACACTTTCCACTCTTTTTATGTAACAGTACTATAGAATCATATTGCTCCTATTGTAGCACCAGACAGGACAGTCTGTAAAAGTGTGGATGAGTTATCTAATCCACAAGCAACAGACTCCAAATCCCATTTTAATCACACTGACCATAATCCCAATATCTCTGTAGTTAGATTACCTACTCAGTGGGGCATCTGGGCACATTGGCATTCACAGAAACACTCACTTGTGCATCATGCATGAGCGACAATATTTAGTGTGTCATAGGATGCATTTCATTCACCTAAGAGTTTAGTAATCATGCTCATTTAGGTTAGGGAATCTAATTAATCACTGTGTGACATATAACACTTGTATTACTATAGTGAACAAATCATCGTATATACAATCGAAATGTGTAAAAACCAGTTAATATAGTTCATCAGTATTACTCAATATTTTATTGTGTAAATAAGTGGTTACATTAACACAAAAGTATGACTAATTAAAGGTGAACTTAGTACTTTGGTGTGTCAAGCAGTATCATGCAAAACCAATTAAAAAATGTTTTCAGTTACCAATAGCTTTGTAGAAATTCAGTTAGCCATGATTCATTACGCAAGCAAACGTTTACATTAATACATGGGAACAGTGAAAAGTGAATGGCACTGGGCTGGTCATGTGAAAGAAGCTTTTATTAGGCTAATAATATGACAGCACTGTTAACTAAAATGAAAACTGATGATAGGATTCATTTTTGTTCATTTACATAAAGCTAAAGCTAAAATAAAATAAAATATTAAATGAAAAATTAGAAATGTAGCCTTGGGAACTAACTAAAATAAAATAAGTTTAAGTGGAAGTATACTAAAATTACTAAAACTAAAAATCAAAAATAAAATAAAGCTTAATATTAAAAAACAAAAACTCATAAAAGTGACAAAAGCAAATAACAAAAATACTAAACCAAACTAAAATGAAAACTGAAGATTAAAATATTAATAAATATTATAATACTACATAAATTATACTAAAAGAACACTATGAGTCTTAATATCATGTGATCCCTTTTAAACATTTTCATTTCTTTGTATAAAATATTTTAGTAAGGAAAAACTACAGAGGGCACCTTTAATTTAAATTATAACAAATTTCTTTATATGGATTTTAAACTTATGACAGTGAACGATGTACTATCCAGGCATACAGATGGCCTTGATCCAGCATAAATGCTGTGTTCTCTATTTGTCCAATGCCTTGGTCATGCCAAACTAAACAATCTCTCCAGCTCATACCATGACCTCATAGTTTCAAATGAAGTCAGAATATGCAAAACAGGCACCGCCTACATACGCAACAACTTCCTATTTCCTCATTTCATAGTCAAACACTTATTTTGCTTAGGCCTTATTCAGACATGCATTCTCTTTCAAAAAGTACACTGTTAAAAGTCACACATCGCCCTCTGCTCAGGTTGGGGCACGTGGTATGCCGTGCTCAGGGTCATTTTGGTCACAACCCAGTGATCTGCCTCTGG